TCTGTTTTGCAGGAGGATGAAAGAAGGAAGGAGGAGAAGGATGAAAGAAAGCGTAAATATAACGTGAGATGGAATGATGAGGTATATACTTTTCTCTTGCTTTAATCAATAGGTTTCTTTATCTTTGTTTGGCTCAATATATAATGCTGCGATGTGCCCGCCTTTGTGCAGGTAACTGCGGAGGACATGGAGGCTTATAGGATGAAAAAGGTGCATCATGATGATCCCATGAAGGATTTTCTTAACTAAGTTAGGCAGCTTACTTGTATTGTAAATATTTTAGTTGCTTGGAGTCCTTTTAACATTAAGGAACTAGCGAACTCAGGTGTTTGGTATCTTTGCTTTTACTTCAATGTGTAATTGTGAAGATCTGAGGAGGTACAACAATGGCCCGACTTGTGTATTATTAAGCGTGTGGATTGGTTCTCTTTTTACAGTTGATAACGGTTGTGTAATTCTCTAGAAGGGTAACTGGGAAATGCAGGCATATATATATATATATATATTAAAAAAGAAATTGTGAATTGTATTTGAAATCTTGAGAACTCGATTTTAAATCATAGATTTAGTAACAAATTATGAAATCGTAGATTTAACAACTATATACATGAAATTATAGATTTGTTAACAACTATATACAGATATGATCTATTCTCAAAAAATTCAGATAACTTATCGTGAAACTTCATTGAAATTCGCACTCACATACCGGGTAGGTAAGGGGTAATATCCAGTTCTGTGTCATTTGTCTTCCGCGTTTCATTTCTGTTCGAAACTCTTCTCGGTTAAGAAATTGGAAATCAATCGCAAGCATCTTTTGTTTTTCTTTTTTAATTTTTGGGAAAAAAATGCGATTGGTTTCCCTTAATTATTCTTCGGCCCCACATGCTGGATCGATTTAACCTGAAATGCTCCATTGACTTGATTCCGTCGGAGTTTGGGCTGCTCCCATTGCTGCAGAGGGGTCTTAGAACTGCATTCTCCAGGGCGAAGTCCTGGTTTTCTTTCATCCCGATTGAACTTATTTGATTAATTCTTGTGGGTTGAAGTGGAATGGGGCACCAGCAATCGAAAGACGAATTGTTGTACCAACAAGTTAGCTATGGCAACACAGAGGGTATTAAAACCCTTTACCGACAGGGTGCAAGCCTTGAGGTGATTATTGAGTTTAATTGTTCTCTTAAAAGTATGATTATTAGCAGTTGGTGCTCATGTTCTTACTTTCATGGTATGTTCAGTGGATCGATAAGGAAGCGAAAACCCCCTTGATTTTAGCCTGCATGAGTCCTGAGCTTCACAACGTCGCGAGAACTTTGATAGAACTTGGTGCTAACGTTAACGCGTATCGGCCTGGTAGTTCCCTTATCTGGGTGTCTCAGCAACAGGACTTTCAATTTGATATCTTCTCATTGCATTTAGTGTTCAAACCCTTTTCAATGCATTTTAGGACGTCATGCTGGCACTCCTTTGCACCATGCAGCTAAAAGAGGCCTTGACAACAATGTCACTTTACTTCTTTCTCATGGAGGTTTGTTGTACTCTCTCCATATCAACACAATATTTGTTTACAAGTATATTTGAAAAGTCTTGTTTATTTTCATGAAGTTTATGGAAATTTTTGTTATAATTTCCAGCAAATCCTTTGATCATGAATGATGATTGTCAGAGTCCTCTTGATGTTGCTAGAGCGAAAGGTCATAGCAATGTCGTTCGTACGATCGAGGTTTGTTTACCTTATAATTCAATCTAAATTTTGTTTCAATATGATTATTGAAAGCTTATGCTTTGGGAGTTGTTTGCAGAGTCATATTTGTTTGTTTTCGGGTTGGTTGCGGGAGTTCTATGGACCGGGATTTTTGGAACTACTGGCTCCTCAACTGGTTTCAAAGAAAGTGTAAGTACTTCATTCCCATGATTCCAAATTTAAGTTTGTTCTTTACCTAGTTCTATGTTCATGCCTGATGACCCGAATTCATTAATATAAAAATTTCATGATTGACGATAACTACGATTTTGATTCGAACTCGAGTATATTTTTCTTATCAAATTCTGTTCTTGTGGTTGATGCAATTCCAATTGCAGCTGGGCTGCTATTTTACCATGTGGGACGCGAAGTCTTACAAAGCCTTTCAAGTTGGAGCTTGCAATCTACACAACTCTTCAGGTATCATTCTGCAGATTAGAATGTTTAATAGTATTTAAAAGGTTTTAGGGAATAAAACTTCCCCCTTCCTATGTCCATTGCATTCAAGAGTTTTTACATATCTAGCTTTGCATTATAATGCTTGAGATGATATTGCCACAATAGAACCTAAAGCTCTCGTATAACCGACCTAGACCCTAAAACTCTGATACCAAATGTTATAGAACTCTTGGTATTCGACCTAAATACTTGAATAACGAGATCTCTAGATCTAAACTATCCAAAAACTCCAAAAGCGATAAGGAATCAACCCAAAGAAAAGTTTTGGAATGGATTACCTTGATGGTCAAGATCAAGAGTAAAGAAAACTTTTTTCTGAACTTGTGATTCGAATCACTTTACAAAAGTGAATAGCTAAAGCGAACTTCATTTTTAATATTCAAAATCTTTATACTAAAGCAATATGAATACCGTAACGGTCACTATCTAAATGTACACATACAATTGACGTGAAAATAACACATACAATTCGTATCATTGTAATCCTTCTTTGTAAATGATAGGATGCTCAACCACGTATTGTTGTTCGACTATGGGGAGCCGATTTGGAGGAGACGAAGTTACAGAATTCTGATCCATCAGTTATGATTGTGGATAACACCACAAGTAAGTCTTGACTCTATATTGGCCATCTTGGGACTGAAAGATTCATTCATTTCATGGTTCTATAATTGCCTTTGTGCATAGCCTAGCCGACTTCGAAATCAAAGATGTCTTTAAAGGTCTGATGACTTTGATCTTGTACCTTCCAAGTCTCCTTCGCACTTCAATAATACAGTAATGTGCACGAACACACGAGGAATGACTAATTTCATTTTTGTTATAACCAAGGAGCCTCGATCTTGACTTAACGTTTGTTTGTTGTTTTGAATTCATTGTAATTGTTATTCCCTGTTTTTGTTTTCAAGAAACTCGCTTGAAACTTGCATCTGGGAATGAAAATGATAAAGAACAACTTCAGTGGTTTTGCAATGCATGCAAAGGAATTCCTTCGGTAATATGTCCATTCTCTTCCGGTCTTGGCCTGTGGTGAAACTATTTTCCTGCCTGAGCCACCTTGAATTTAGACTCAGCAAGCTCTTGAAATGTTTTTTCCCAATAACCTGGAAATTTTTGGAATATTTCAGATGATGCTCCCTCCATTTATGAGTGTTAACCAGGACACGAGCGTTTCGGCAACTGCACCGCCAGACACAGAAGATGTGGAGCTAGCCATGGCCATCAGTGCTTCCATTCAGTCTGCTATCCAGGGGAGACCACTCTTTCCTGAACCCAATCCAAGTTCTGAAGCAAGTACCTCTACTAGCCATACATGGCCAGTTGTACCAACAACACATTCTACGAAATTCAGCACAAATGAATCAGAATTGCACGAAGCTGGCCAGAGCAGCAGCAATTCAAACGAACATCCCAAAATCCAGACGAACAGCATCCCTCCAGATGCAGTGCCTTCAGCTCCATTGGCAGCAGATGAGATTCTGGACGATGGTACAATTCACTATCCTTCAATTGATTCAAGTCCGATTGACTTGTCATCTCCAACTGCCCAGACAGTTCCCTTACTGGCAGGTGAAGGAAAAGAGGAAACGAGTTCTTCTTCATGTGTTATATGCTTGGATGCTCCTATTGAAGGAGCCTGCATACCCTGTGGACATATGGCTGGGTGCATGAATTGTTTGACCCAAATCAAATCCAAGAAATGGGGCTGCCCGGTTTGTCGCGCTAAAATCGACCAAGTTGTCAGATTATATGCTGTATGAGTCCACCGTGAGTAAACTCTTTAAATGTGCAGTTCCTGTTGTTTATATAAACCATTGTGTTCTATCTGATTGTGTGGACACAATAGAGGTAATGTAATTTGAATACAATTCTATCAACACCCCCTCGGTTTTTTTCATCTGGCAACCATGCTCATACTAGGAACTTTGTTTCTTAGCTCATCGATCACAGATTTTGTTGAAGCCCCAACGGTAACAGCCCAAGTCCAAGCTGGCGGATATTGTTTTATTTGGACTTCCTCTCAAGGTTTTAAAACATGTCTCCTAACTGCTAAGGAGAGATTTTCAATCCTTTTAAAGAATGTTTTGTTCTCCTCTCCAACTGATATGGAATCTCACTGTCTGTCCTAGGAGGCCAACGTCCTTGTTGACACACCGCCTGATATTTGACTATGATATGATTTATAATAGTCAAAGCTCATCGTTAGCAAATATTGTCCTTTTTGGGTTTTCAATTAAGATTTTAAATGACGACTGATAGGGAGGAGTTTCCTCACTCTTGTAATTAATATTTTGACGGATGTGTGGGATCTCACTCAAAGAATGATAATGGTGCTTAATTTTGATCTTCCACGGGCATATTAGCTTAAGGTAAGCGTTCTTTTTCTTGCCCAAACAAGAAAGTCATAAATGTTTTCATTATTTGCAAGATTATCAAACGTTCACAAACAGCTCTCGATTCGATTCGTAGATAAAAAGATGTAAAATCAAAATGATGGAAGAGGCCGAAATGGTTCAAATTTTTTTGTTGTTGGACTATATACCACATCACTTCCTTCTTAACAAAAATTAAAAAGTTAAAAACTATATAAAAAGACAAAAAGAAATCAAATATTAACAATAACTTAGACGACGACGACGAAAAAAAAAAAAAAAAAAAAAAAAAAAAAAACATGAGATTACTTTTTTTATAATTTAGGGTAATATTTATTTAATAATTGTTAATGCATTGAATTTTGAGGATCAAGTCATATGCGGATTTAAGAATTATATGGCGCGAGAGGCTTCAACCTTAACCTCGCGCTATTTCTCTGCTCTTCTGCTATCGCATCTGCCCCAAATCGAACACGCAGGTGCGCATTTTGGTCTTTGTTTTTCATTCATTTCAGCAGTAATTTCAAAACCTAGAACTCATTGCAATTTCATTTCGGAAGAGCCTAATTTACACGTTTGTTCGTAGTAACATTCGACCGTTCCATTTAGTTTATATGAGATTTTTGTTTGTTCTGCATTGTCGCGTTTCTGATATCTTGGGAGACGTTTCTTCGTGGTATTTGTAACTCCATTTGTCATTCATTCATACACTTGGTTTCCGCTTTAGTTTATTTACTTTTAGTTGCCATATGAATCCGAGTTATCTTACCCTGATGCAATCATGAAAATCAGCTCTGCTTGAAGTGAACAAACAAGAACGGGAAATGCATATATGTATATATTTTGATAGATAACAAATGTTTTGATATGAAATTTATAAAAGCGCCGTACAAGAAAATTTTCCAATTGGACAAAAAGTGCAGGTCTACAGAATTGAAATAGTGAAGACGAGTTACACCAATTGATACCATGATAGACTATAGCATCGAAGAAATTATCAGAAGCGTGCTCTTTGCCTCTGGAAATCCTTTCATTCATTTCATTCCAAGGAAAGGATACCTCTTTAGTCCTTAGTTTATATAGTAATTTTCCCATTGTGTCATAGGCAGTGATAACCTTTGAATCAGTAATCCATTTTTCAAATTCAAGAGCTGATCATGGCTTCCTGTCTTTGCTTGAGGTTGTCTCATATGGGCGCTAATATTGGTTTCTGATGTTCACTACAGGCCAGTGATAGATTTAACATCAATTCCCAACTTGAGCACCTTCAGGCTAAATATGTGGGAACTGGGCACGCTGACTTAAATAGATTGTTAGTTTCCTTATTCCTTTGGAGCCTTGATCTTATATTGCTTTGCATAGTATTGTGTAAACCTCAGTTCACATCTCTGTGTGTACAGTGAATGGGCCGTGAACATTCAGCGTGATAGCTATGCATCATATGTTGGTCACTACCCCGCTCTGACTTACTTTGCTATAGCAGAAAATGAATCCATCGGAAGGGAACGCTACAATTTTATGCAGGTTGATACATTGCCTCATCTTTTTTTTATTATTTGTCTTTTCACTGACGAGCTTCCTTTTCTAGTATTATTATTGCCTCCCCCCATCCCAATATTATTTGTTTCTGTCAGGTATGGCTGGTATTTGTTTTTGTTATTATTATTATTATTAAAATAATAAAGCTTCGATATCCATGTTTGTTGTTTTCGGATTAACACCCCCCAAAAAAAGTGAGAAATGGAAAAGAACGAGAGAACGAGAGAGATGAAAGATGGGTTGCAACACTTTTTGTTATTAATGGGCAGTTTTTTTTTTGTTTTTTTTTTTTTGTTTTTTTTATTATTATATTTGAGCCAACCATTTCTGAGCTTTCTGCATGCATTCATTATACTTCACTTGCCTTCCACCCACATAAAATGTGCTTTCTTATTTTCATGTCCCTGTAATTTGATTATTAGGTCATTTTTCCTTCCAATTTTTAGTTTCTAATGTGGCTTTTTATCTTTACTCAAGACAGTAGCCCAAGTTATTTCATTCTTCACAATGTGAAGTGTCGAGAATAAATTGGTCCTACCACTTTTGAAATGTGGGGTTGTGCCCATGTGTAACTAATTTTTTTTCTTAATGAGTGATGGAAATTTCCTTTTAGTTCTTCGTGGATTTCGTTTACAACTTAATGAGATAAAGAAAGGCAATTCTTAACATTCTTTTTCTGTTTTGTTTTTGTTTTTGTTTTTTTGTTTTTTTTTTTCGCAGAAGATGCTATTACCTTGTGGCCTTCCTCCAGAAAGGGAAGACGATTGAGATTTTATTAGTTTGTAATCAGAGATTGTACCTTTGATTTGCTAATTCTGTTACGAATTGGCTAATGGGAAGTGATTAAGAATCAGTTTCCAAACCCAGTCGCTATCATCCTTTATTTCAAGAAAAATATGTCCACTCTAGTCATAGTCTGGAGAATGCTCCCATCTTTACATGTGTAGTTCTGTTTAACCTTGAATTGATTGTTTTATTTTTTGAGAAGACCATGAATTTAATTTGATAGCAATGGATGCTGGATTTGGTTCAGTTAGTTTCACAATTTCAGGAATTAATTGTAACAGGACTGTAACGAAATTATGTGATACGTCCTGTGTTAATTAATACGAGTGGGCTCCTTTTTTTTATTTGGTCCTTGATAATGAGAAATTTCCATGTTCAGTATGGTATTGAATGAAAGGAGGAGGACCATCAAGTAGCTCGCTCATGGAACTGCCTCCAGCTTAACTTTGAGGAACATTTTGGTTTGGCAGGAGAGTGCCTCTCCTAATCCCACGCTCTTGCTCATCAGTTCTCTGGTGTGAATCTACAAAATGGAAAGCAGATTGAAGTGAAGGGTCAATGAGAGGACAACGTGGGTCCAGCATTGGTCTGTACCAATTCGATACATCATTAAATGTCCAACTGGTTTCAACGTTTGATTTGTCCCTTCACTAACGAAAGCTACGGTTCATGTTGTGGAAAATGCAAGCACACATGCTCTCGGTCTGACAAAGGTACGCTTTCAGATTTCTTTGGGACTCTTCATGTTTATGATGTCAGGAAATTGCAATAACTCTCGGCTAATGGCTAATAGAACCTTGCAGGCTCCCCTAAATTGAGCTAAATCAGGTTTCTACTTTGATTATGCAAGTTACTAGAATGTTTGGACTGTTAGTTCACTACTTAACACAAAACCGTGAACCATGTATTTGAGCAAATTTTGTCAGCATGGATACCCGTAGTTGGACCAATATTTTTTTATCACATGCGATCATGTAACCTTATATGGTCTGCATCAATTCACTTTGACAAGGTATGTTACTTCCAACTCTTATATGGTCTTATATGCTTACTATCATAGAAAACATTTTAGCGTCAAGCTATGAACCTATACTCGATGATGTATGGCACTCAATAGGCATCTCTTTAACTCATGATATATCTTTGTAAATCATAGCTGTATTTCAAACTTTTTTTTATTAGAATTTCATGCCAATCATGATTCTTATACCAAAAAGACTGAACTTTATAAGAAAATCTTTAATGACCTAGTACTTAGTAGCAATACTCAAATTTTTTTTTTTTTTTTTTTTTTTTTAACAATAATTGA